AAGTGAAGTAAGCCAGGCCCAAAGAAACATAGGTCCCATGGTTTCCCTTATTTGCAATAACTAGTATATGTCTGAGACAAGCAGAAAAGGTCAGATAAGATGTTCAGCAAAGTAAACCCCAAGATAAGGACACAAGTGGTTTTTTTTCTTTCTTGCTATTGTTTCTAATATATTTATAAGGTACCACGTGCTTTTTCTTTGTTGCTTTGTATGTCCCTCCCCCATGGTATAACCCGTGTTTTCACTGTAGTTGATGAATGTCCCACTTTTTGCCAAAGCTACCTTCAGACCATAATCCTTCTACCTTCACCTTCCTCTTAGCTGGGATTACAGAAGTGAACCACACCACACCTGACTTTTTTTTTTTTTTTGTACGTCATGGGGCTTGAACTCTGGGCTTGGGCGCTGTCCCTGTGCTCTTCAGCTCAAGATGAGCACTCTACTGCTTGAGACACAGTGCCACTTCTGATTTTTTAGTGGTTTATTAGAAATAAGAGTCTCATGGACTTTCCTGCTCAGGCTGGCTTTGAACCGTGATCTTCAGATCTCAGCCTCCTGAGTATGTAGGATTATAGGCGTGAGCCACTGGTGCCTGCCCCCCCCCAACTTATTCTTTAGATAGGATCTCACTGATTTTATTTTGTCTGGGTTGGCTTCAGAACACAATCATATCACTGACTCCAAAGTAGCTGGGATTGTGGGAGTGGACCACTACACCTGACTGGATTTGTTTTTCTTCTTTCTTTCTTTGGAAGTACCAGAGTTTTCTTAACTCAGGAATTTGGACTTTCTAGCCAGATACTCTACCATGTGAGCTCTATTTTTGCTTTTAGTTATTTTTTCAATAAGGTCTTGCATCCTCCACCCCCAGGCTTTCTGGACTGTGATCCTTCTATTTTATGCTTCCTGAATAGCTGAGATGACAAGTGCATGCTACCATGCCCACCTTTCTATTGTTTGAAATAAAATATCTCTATGCCTGGGCTGGTCTTGAACGGAAATGTATCTGATTTCTACCTCCTGTGTAGCTAAGAGCACAGGTATGAGCTACCATGTCTGGCTGGATTTATTTTTCAGATCACTTTTTTGTTGTGTTTGTGTATTTAAACAACACACTTCCAATAGTATAGAAACATAAAAATGTCTGGAAGTATCACAATGAAACACCGTGTGCAATTAATGCACACCAATAAAAATAAAAAGAAAGAAAAGAAAGTTCATGAGCAACTCTAATGTTGAAGCTAGGCACCAGTAGCTCACACCTGTAATTTTAGTTACTCAGGAGGCTGAGACCTGGATGATCACAATTTGAAGTCAGCCAGGGCAGAAAAATATAAGAGACTCCACCTCCAATTCACTAGGAAAATGCTGGGCTAAAGGTGTGGTTCCACTGATGACATGTCCCGTGAACAAGCAAACCAAGTAAGAGTGAGTTTGAGTGTTGGTACTGGCAAAAAAAAAAAGTATTACTGATGCCATTCCAGACTCTTCTGTGCACAAGTACTTTTTTTACTTAGCAAAATGTCAACTTTTTCACCTTTTGTAGGACTTTTAAATACTGTTTGGCATAAAGGTTTTTTCATTTGTTTGTTTCAGTACTGAGGCTTGAACTCAGGAGCTGAGCCCTGTCCCTGAGCTTGTTTTTTTCAGGACTAGCACTCTGCCACTTGAGCCACTTCCAGCTTTTTTGGTGATTAATTGAAGATAACAGTCTCATGGATTTTACTGCCCAGACTGGCTTTGATCTATGATCCTCAGATCTCAGCCACCTGAATAGCTAGGATTATAGGCATGAGCTACTGACACCTAGCTTGACATAAAGTTTATATTAGACACAGAGCTTGTGGACCTCACAATCAAGTAGGCAGTGGGAGTTTGATATATTTTTTATGTTCCATACTATGTCAGGTGGACAGACCAGGAAACACTTAGTCCTATATAATAACCCTATTGATCTGTTCCTCCCTATGACCCCCGAGGCTCTTATGCCCCTTGAAGGCAGACTGGCAAGTGTCAGGGCAGGTGCTACTACAGGGACCAGGCAAGGACAGGGTGCTGTAAGGGCCCATAGGAGGGACGTAACCTAGACCTGAGAGGTCAAGGAAGAATTGCAGGAGAAAAGGATATGTAGGCAGTAGTCACTTAGGGAGTGGCAGGACAGCATATGGAAGAGCCTAGAGGTGAGAGAAAGCCTAAGAGGTCTGGGCAGCTGTGAACCTGCCTGGCTGGCTGGCAAACACATGATAATCGAGGTGAAAGATGCAGATTGTAGAGGAGATGAAGCTGAGAGCAGTGGGCTACCACTAAGGAGATTTAAATAGAGAATTCCAAACAATTCCATAGGAAATGATTCTTAAATTTCTTTTGTTTTTGAGACAGGGTCTTGCTCTGTCACTTGGGCTGGTCTTGAACTTGATGTCTTCCTGTGTCAGCCTCCCAAGTAGTTGAACTTACCAGCACATGCCACTGCATCGGACTTTGGTTCTAGGATTTCTTTGCCATGCTTAAACCTTATTTTATTTGCATTTAGAACCAGGAGCAATTGAAAGATGATGACTCTGATCTTATTCTCAACGACGGTGATATCAGTTTGACATATGGAGATTCTACTGTGAGCACTGAATCAGCAGCCTCCAGTATCCCAAGGAGATTTATGGGCAACAGTTCTGAGGATCCCTTAGATCGGGAGCTTACCTTTGGGGACCACGAACTGGTCATTCGTGGGACACGCCTGGTTCTTCCTATGGATGATTCTGAACCCGCTTTAAATTCATTAGATGATACAAGACACAGCCCAGCCTAAGCTTATGAATACTCACTTAGTGGTTTGTAAAATTTGCACATGTGATTGTGAAGAAATTTGTACTACCTAAAAAGTCCTAGTGCATGTCTCTGAATGTGTGAGCTATATAAATGTCATTTATATGGCATAAGAAGAATATAACTATTCCTGTACAAGGCAGATTGTGAACAAACTATTCTTTTTAAGTTTTGCTGGCTGCGCTGTGTAGGCTGGATCTGTTTTAGGAAGTTACTTTCACAGTGATGTGTGTTCTGTTAGTTTTATGTCTCAGTTAAAGTATAAAAAGTGAATGACTTAACTCTTCTTATAGTTACCTGACACTTAACCAGAGTACCAAGTTCTTGTGATGTGAATTAATTTGTGTGTGTGTGTGTGTGTGTGTGTGTGTGTGTGTGTGTGTGTGTGTGTGTGTGTGTGTGTGGTGGGGGGAGAGAGGGAAGAGAGGGAAGAAGGAGCATCATTTCCTAGGGAACCCAGATGTGGAGAGGTTCCTTTGTCAGGACTCTTGATTGCTACCGCCTTTGCCATCATCTTCTTCTTCCCCTTTTCTCTGGTGGCCCATAATGGCACATGGAGCCAGTGGCATTTTCGTTTTGCCCTATTCAGGTTGAGGAGTTTAGTGTGGGCTGTTTTCCCCCATGATGTAAAAGGACAGATTCATTAACTCCAGCACTCTGCTGTCCAAAAGAAGGTGGCAAACGACCTCCAAGAACTTAACTGTTTTCCTTCCAGCCTAAGACTATAGGCATTACATCCAGCTGGCTTAGCCAAAGTACAGGTGTATATAGTTCAGAGAGCTTGATTTAGCTTTGGAGGAGCCGGGACAAAAAGGAAAAGGGTCAGAGGAAAAAAAAGGGAGTAAAGAGGATGATGGGGTCAGAGGTCTCTCTTCCCAAAAATGTAAATATTCTACACCATATGAGTTTAAATAAGAAAGTTAATTGCTGCTTACGTTTTGATTATGTCCTTTATCTGTATAGGAAGCTTTGTTGTCAGAAGTTTTTATATCAATTTAAATTGCTGCTCTTTAGCAGCCAAACAGGAGCAAAATGTAAAATTTATAAACTTACTGTGTCTAATGATCATTTATTAGTCTGTAGTTGATGTTAAAAGTTAATTTATGAATCCATGATTGTCCCATACTACACCAAAGGCAGTGGTAAGACACTGAGTGCTCCAGAGTGTTTGTTGTAAGGTGGCTCCTTTGTGTGCAGTGGGCATCTCATCTTCATTACCACGTTCCCCTTTACAGTTCAATACCTAAGCTGCCATTTGGTTGTTTTACAGTTTTCAAGGAAGAGCACAGAGCAGTTTCCCATTTCGTATCCATAATAAGAAAATGGATTCTATTTTATAATGCTGAAAATATTTAAAGCTTGGAAAGGGAATATTTTCTGATCTGGATGCTGACCTGTTAGTGATTCAGAATTTAAATAGGTAACTTTAAATAGAAGTTAAATAGGTTCTTCCCACATACATACACCCAGGTCTGAGTAGCTTTGCCTTAAGTCTTACCCAATTAGAAAATTGTTTTATTTATATGATTTTCCAGTTTTCCATTGAAAAATATCCTTTCAGACAAAAGACACATGTACTCTCCAAAAAGATTCTGTGCTTTTATAAACACTCCTTTAAGGGAATTGTAATGTTGATGCATAGTAGTAGCCTTGAATGTTGGCATAGCCATTTGTTAGGTAGTGGTAGCAACTTTCCTGCTATGCAGGAATTCCTCCTGTGAAGTGTATGTTTTCTATGACATGTGCCTCTTGATGAAGTAAATAATTTCTTGTTAATGTTTGAGGGGGTTTTGAATGTCAACATCACTTATCCACAAGGTTCTTCAAGTTGTAAAAGGTTATATAATAATTTAACTATTACCTTTTTTATTCTGTCAAGTTAGTGAGCTCACTTTATGACAAATGGCTGTAAATACTTAGCATGACAAATTCTGTAACTCATCTATTTCAGCATGTGTAAGACCTTTCATTAGGGAAACTGATACAGCTTGAGTCCACTAAATCTGCCTTTGGTACTTTCTCAATGGGGAATGAAGCCTGCTGTGCTTCCATTAGCATCTGGGACTTTTCCTCTCCTCTAGTCCATGCATACATCTCCATGCAGTGAAGAAAAAACCATGTCTGCTCAGACACCCATTGCACTGAGGCACCTATCTGAGTAAACTTTGATGAAGTACAGTCTGAGTTACCATCATGCACAAGTAGAATTATTCTTGGACCTGTTTTTCTGTTGTTCGTGGAACCTACACGTTTGATTGACTTGAATGTTGCATCTTTTAAAGTTGTTTTTAAAGGTCTTTTGCATTTATCCTAGTTGTCCGTGTTTGGCAATGTGCTGTTAAAGTAATAGACTTTTAATCTTTATGTATTTTTTGTTTTCTCTTATAGTACTTGGGCAGATGTTATAGTGGTTTCTTTTAGGCAAATCCATCATTAAAAATATAGCCTTGCAAATAACCACTCACTGTATTTGAGTCATTGGTTATTCGAGTGAGGACTTATGAGTGCTGACTGCATTTACTTTTCTACCTATGTACATGGTGATAGTCGGGGTAGGAAGTAGACTTAGATTTTTAAAAAGAAATAAATAGGAACACCACAGAACTTAACTTCCAAGGTGGCAAAGTCTTGGTGCTTGTGTGTAAAGTTGAATGGATTTGTTGATGATCACAATTGGACCACTTAAGAAATACAAGTTAAAGCCACCCAATTCCATTTCATTGATTTGTAGCCTGTTAGGTCAGTAATGGAGAATGTCATGAACATGGTAGTTCCATTGAATGGAGAGAGTCAGTTCTGTATCTACAGCTCCAAGTTTGCTTTGAAAACAAAGTCACACAAGTAGTCCTTTCTCTAAGTTAAAGATAGAACTTTTTTTGTACGTGAGGCATTTTCAAGTTTCGAGTGTGCTCATAGCAACTATCTGTCTGGCTAAGGCCAGCAGCCACACTGCACGCTGCGTTTGGTTGTCATCCTGTCCAGCTTCTTTGCTCACAGCACCATGCGAGGCACAGGTTAGTGGCTCCACACAGCAGACTCTTTCCTTGAGCCAACTCATATTTTCTATTTTTGACATATACATATTATACATAGTTTATAATCTTAATCATGTCTCACTTCACAGATGAGGAATCTGAGGTGCAGAAAGTTGTCATGTAGCTGGTAAGTCACAGAGCTCCTCAATTCCAGTCTAGCTCCACAAACTCTAGTTCTTAACCGCTGTACTGTTCCCAAAGGCAAACTCCATGTGAATTTATCCTGGGTATAACCAGGATGATGAAGGAAATTTCAGACTTCAGGCTTGGTGCTCACCACCTGTTTATTATCAGGCTAAGGAGGGGATGAAGTTTCAACTGTGCTCCATTCCACCCTGGTTGGCTACCAGGTATGGTTCCCTGCTTAGGGGAGTCTTCCCATTCTAGGTAAGACACAGGGCCCTGTGACTTACCTAGCTCATAGGCAAGGCAGCCTGACTAGCAGCATTCCCCCACACTCTGCCTCCCAACCTTTCAACTTTCATGTCAGTTTGTAGTCATGGCTTTGTGTCTACAGAGTTTGTGGTTGAGTTTTTCAAAAGTCCAGGCTTTGTGGACTGGGAAGGTGGCTCAGTGGTAGAGTGCTTGCCTTGCATGCATGAAGCCTTGGGTTCGATTCCTCAGCACCACATAAGCAGAAAAAAACAGAAGTGGTGTTGTGGCTCAAGTGGTAGAGTGCTAGACTTGAGCTGAAGAGCTGAGGGACAGCGCCTAGACCCAGAGTTAGGCTCCAAGACTGACAAAAAAATGTCCGGGCTTTGGAATTATACAGACCTGGATTCAAAGCTAGGTTCTGCTACTTGCGCATTGACCAGTTACTTGATTTCACATGGAGTATTGCTGTTCTCTTGGCTTAAATCCCTTCAAGATAGTTGAGCTTTTATATTGTCCCACCCATAATGAAGATTGCAGCAAACAGCTGAATGGCAGTCCCATTGTCATAGAGCCATATCATGGGCTTCTTGACACCCATTCATGCAAAAAGACTGCTTTCTACTTGCCTTAATGCTAATATGTTATTGTAATACAAATTTTAGGTAATCAACAATCTCAAGATCATCATTAGTGGGGGAATCAGGGGTGATTTACCTGTGTCAGATCAAGACTTTAGGAGTCAGAAAGGAGGACTGGAAGTATAATTCAGTGGTAAAGCATCTGTCTGGCAAGTGGAAGGCCCTAAGTTCATCAAACCCCACTACTGCCAAAGAAAAAATAAGTAACTAGGTGTGGTGGTAACATGCATCCTGCCAAGATCTTTGGGAGGCAGATAAAGGAGGATCTCAAATTCAAGGCCTACCCAAGCAAAGATAATGGCAAAACCTTGTCTCAAAAATGAAAACAAAACTGAGGCCAGTGGCTCACGCCTATAATCCTAGCTACTCAGGAGGCTGAGATCTGAGGATCATGGTTCAAAGCCAGCCCAGGCAGAAAAGTCTGTGAGGCTCTTATCTCCAATGAACCACTAGAAAACCGGAAGTGGGGCTGTAGCTCAAGTGGTTGGGGCTGTAGCTCAAGCGGTAGAGCGCTGGCCTTGAGCTGAAGAGCTGAGGGACAGTGCCCAGGCCCAGAGTTCAAGCCCCATGACCCACAGAAAAAAAGAAAAAGAAAACAAGAGCTGGGCACTGGTGGCTTATAATTGTAATCTTAGCTACTCAGTAGGCAAAGATCTGAGGATCATGTTTTATAGCTAGCCTAAGCAGGAAAGTCTGTGAGGCTTATCTCTAAGTACCTAAAGAACCTGAGTTCAAGCCCTATGACCACCAACAACAAAAACAACAACAACAAAAATAACACACCATCAAGTAGGGTATAGCTCACATGGTAGTGTCCCTAGCATGGGCAAGGCTTTGGATTCAATCTTCAACACTGCAAATAAAACAAAAAAGGGAGGAGGTCACTGCCGGATGTCAGTGGCTCATGCCTGTAATCCTAGCTACTCAGGAGGCTGAGATCTGAATATAGCAGTTCAAAGCGAGCCTGGGCAGGAAAGTCCATGAGATTCTTATCTCCAATTAGCCACCAGAAAACCAGAAGTGGCGCTGTGCCTCAAGTGTTAAGCATTCGCCTTGAGCTGAAGAGCTGAGGGACAGCGCCCAGGCCCAGACTTCAAGCCCCACCAACCACCACCACCAACAAAAATAGGGTCAGGATCAGCCATATAAACAGAAGTGAAGATAAGGAGCATTGTAAGCTTAGTGAAGAGTGACACAATTGACATTCCATACAACAGCCTTTCAGTCAGATATCTATTGTCATAAGAACACTATATACTTTATTATATCCGTATGATGAGAAATTAATAGACCCTAGCTCCTAAACGTTTGTAGAGAAGACAGTACTTACTCAACAGTTATATATTTGGAAGTACAATGAGGATATCTTGAAATCTTCCCCTACACTTTCTTGCCCTTCTGGTCCTGGATGACCTGTGACAAGCTCGCTCTCCTCTTCTGTACACTACCTTTGGTCACTTGAAACGAGCTGACATGTCTTCCCTGAGCCTTTCTGTCCCTCAAGCTAAGCAACCCTATAGCCCTCCAGTCTTCTGACTGCCATAAGTGTATTATCCACACTTCTCCGAATATACCTGAAGCCACCCTGACTCCGTGTGGTTTGCTATCTACATCAGCCCTTTAGCTTACAGTCAGCAGAAAATCTGGGCCAGCATCCTGTCTTCAGGTGCCTACATTCTCACTGGGGAACACAGACTATTAACACACACATGATATAATGAAAGGTGGGGGTAAGAGCTGAAGAGGAAATTGGATAAAACGTGTTGGGCCTGAGGGGCACAGTAGGGCTGGAAGAGGCATTCCAGATGCCTTGTGTAAGAGGTCACATTAAAATTAAGACTTGAAAAGGCCAGCCAAGCAGAGAAGTGTGATGCCGAGGTCTTGTATTAGAGATACTCAATGAATGTTCATTGATGAGGAGAGAAATGGCCTTCTGACCTTGATTGAGGCCAAGTTTGAAGGCCACCATGGTCTTTAGAAAGGGAGAAGCAGTAGGCCAGAGTCCTAGCACTGCTTACCTGGCACTTAAAGGAAGCCATGCAAACCTCTCTTAGCCTGCTTCTTGCTGTATAAAACAATAACAATTCATGGATTCAATGAACATTTATTGAGCTATTACCATGTCAACTACATTGGTAGTTTCATTATTATGATTCCAGCCCCAAATAGCTGCCAGGCTTCTTGTTGGAGAATCAGATGAGGTGATGTATGTTGAAAGATTCTGACAGGAATTCCAATGGTTCTTGAAACTAAGGCTGAGTATTTTGTATGGTTTTGCTTATGAGGTGCTATTTGAACAAAATATATCAAACCCTTTGCAAACCATGCAGCTCTTCTGAGCTGATTTCTTTAAGAATCTCCAGTTCAGCAAATTGGAGGTTTTCCAAGTGGTTGCCATGGTGAAGATTGAACTTCAACTACTGGCTTAGCTACAGCTGTCATGACTGGAACCTATACTGTATGAGTCCTGGCAATCTCTGGCCAGTTCTACCAAGCAAAAGAACTCCTCTCCTTTACCAGGAAGCTATATTGTAATTACAGCTTGAGGAGTCTTGCCCTCTGCATCCTGGCTGGACACTGGGTCTGATAATTTTCCTGTTGGTGCTTTCTGGTGGTTGCACAAGTTGTTTCTTCTGCAGAGATAGGAAAATGTATTGAAAGCACTACAAGTATTTCTTGAAACAAGATTTAGTTTCTCCAGATTTGTTGGAACTGAAGTGGTTGAAGTGGTTCACTGTGTGTTTAAATACTAAAATTCCCTGAGAAGTATTCAAATCTTGGTTGCTTTGGGAGTCACGAGGCTTTAGTGCATGATTCTAATTTGTTGTTCCTTTGAATTTCCTATACAGCTGTGTTCCCATGTAGACTAGGCCAAAAGAGTGTGAGCTGAACTGTTATTTCATTAGAAAAATCTGGAAGACTTCTGTCAGATACTGGAAGTTGCCTGTTTGTTCCATCTCATAGCTGTATGAGAAAGCAAGATAATGGCAATTGGACCACCTGGGTTGTGCTATAAATTTGATTTTTAACACTTTCTCAAAACTCAACCAAAGCTGGGCATTGGTGGCTCACGCCTGTAATCCTAGCTACTCAGGAGGCTGAGATCTGAGAATCATGGTTCAAAGCCAACCAGGGCAGGAAAGTCCATGAGACTCTTATCTCCAATAAGCCACTAGAAAACCGGAAGTGGCGCTGTGGTTCAAGTGGTAGAGTGCTTGCCTTGAGCTGAAGAGCACAGGGAGTTCAAGCCGCACAACTGACAAAAAAACAAAACAAAACAAAAACTCAATCAAGTTCCATTTTGTAAGGGGAACCAAGAAATTGATCTTTAAACATCAATATTTTCCTTGCTAACTTCTAGTCAATTAGACACTAAGGAACTGGAATCGCAACTCAAGTATAGAATGTT